TCTTCCACCTATCACCCTTACCTCATGTTCTATATCACCTCTCAACTCATCATCCAACTCACATTTCATCTACCCATGTTTTACCCAACATATTACGTAGATATAAATACATATACAGTTTAAATCATATAAAACTTGTATAAAATCGTTCATCCAGTATAGATAGCAAATATACATATAATATGCACACATAACATGTAGTTTATATAAAATACTTCATATCTATGTGTAAGATGAAAGAGACCATGCACTCACTTGAAAAGGTGGTGATTCCGAAGTCAAACAGCGCTTCGCTTCTTAATTAAAAATAATTTCCATCGACGAAACCTAGTATATTACCACTAGAGTTTAGTCTATTATTCATCGAGACTAATTAATAGTCTAGCTATTATTACTATTATATAAGCGTTAAACAATACTTATATAACCCATAATAATAGCCCAAGTACTTATTATAAGTTCATAATAACGTTACTATAATTAAATAAAAGCTATATTAAAAATAGTGTAGGCATGGCTCACTTACAGCGGCCATTATAGAAAATCGGGCTTTGCTTGGAGAAGCGTTCCCGAGCCGAAAAGTTGCTCTTCTCGGAGCCATCAATCACTCCGGAGCTTTCGCCTCGTGCTAGGAAGGTTCCTTAGGCTTTTCGGGGGGTTTCGGGGCTAGAGAGAGGTTCTAGAGAGAGAGTAAGGAGAAGAAATAATGGGAAAGGTGTGAAGAAAATGAGGGTGGGAGAGGTTCTATTTATAGGGTGAAATGTGGCTGAACTTGGTGCCACATGTCACCATCTGGTGGCAAGACTTGGGGAGAAAGTAATGGCCAAGATTGTGCCACGTCACCCATTTTCACACAGCACAATTCCCACTTCTAAAATCCGAAACTTTCACATACGAGCTCTGTTTTTTATCTTCTTTATATCCATGCGTATCTAAAAATAAGATCTACAACTTTCATTTTGACTCCTTTAGCTAATTCTCGATCGATCTTAAATTTAACAGAATGAAAAGATTATACTGTTAAATATCCGCTTAAAACTCATAACTTCTACATACAGACTCTGTTTTCGTCTGTCTTTTCACCATTGAGTTCCTATTAATAAGATATTCAATTCTCATTTAGGTCGCGTAGGCCAAAAACCAATCGATCTAAAATTCGAGTTTCGAGCTGTGCACTACTAAGCCAAATCTTAGAAAATTCATAACTTCCTCATACGAAGTCAGATTTGGGTGTTCTTTTTTTGCATGTTCTTGGTTTAACATATACTAAAACTTTTGTTTATATTTGTAAGGCTAAAATGTCCTCCTTTGTAAATGCACTATTTACGTCTCCCGGTGTCGTGTCGATTTTGCTGTAAAACTTTGACGTACCATAACTTCTTCGTTATAACTCGGATTTTGGCGTTCTTTATATGTACATAACCCTTGAGACGTATTCTTATTTATTTTGAAAAATTATTTGTTGAAAAGTCATTTTCGACCCCTATTATCTCTAAATTGACTAGCCCAGATCTACGGGCGTTACAATTATCTCCCCCTTAGGATGATTACGTCACGGAATTATCAACGAAACAGGGCTCACATTATTATTCCATACGTTTTCTCTTCATCCTAAGTAATAACCATAACATTGATGTTTCTTCGAACGAGTATCTAACTCTAAGACTTCCTGATTGTAGGCGGTGCTGGATCTTGCACTTGCTACCTATCTCACGTTAAACTCCAAATTATGACCTTCAAGTCACAATCTCGATCCTTACTGGAGACTGATTCTTCTTTTTAACAAACTTAACATAAATTATTTTATTACTACAATGGACTGATATTCTAATGACTTATCATTGTATGTTCCCACGCTTAAACTAAGGTCTTTTAGAGTCTTCCAGAACAGACTATACATTTCTTCATGTTCTAATCACATCTTAAAAGGTAGCATTGCTAGCTATAAGCAACTATCGCGATACCTCTACCAATCGCTTTGACTATCTTTTATTTCAATCTTCCGGCTTAAGTCTATCGCTACATCAAACTTGGTTCTCTAAACCATGTAACATACTTATCGTAGTCGGACTCAATTCGATATGACCACTAGGGTTGGAATAACAATCATCCTCTTAGTCATTACCGAAATGATGGTAACGACACATTTGAATAAAACGGTATCAATTACTAGCTTCTTTGTAACCTTGTGACTTTCTCTAATCCAAGCGTGAGTCTTGTGCTTTCGGTAGTAAAGGCCTCTACTACCTTTAACACCTACTCATACTCATCCCAAGTATTGTCTTATAGTTTTCCAAGTCATCATACAAGAAAATCACATAACAGCTTAACACCCCAGATAACAAATCAAAGGCTTTATATTATTCCTTGAAATGATTACATAGGTTTTCAAGTTCACCCTAGACTATGCCTCTAATAGGCTACACCATACGATAATATCCACACGGCTACTGTGTAACTCGATCTTTGGATATGAAGTCCTCATCATTTATTCCTCGCGTTGTTTTCTGCTTCATCGAGGATCATGTGGAATGCTCTTGCTCTTGGCCTTGGCGACACATTTGGCTTTCTAGCCCCTTTTCTCTTTGGCGCAGTCTTGCTTGAAGTGCCCTTCCTTATTACATTCATAACATACCCTTTTATTGAATGTACATTCATTGGCGTAATGCCCATGCTTTCCACACTTGAAACAAGTCACCTCCTCGCCACATTTTCCTAAGTGTTTCTTCTTGCACTTATCACACCATCTTGCTTTGCCTCTTCCTCCTCCTCTAAACTTCGAGGATTTACTCTCCTTGTTGGGCCTTGAAGATCCTTCAAACTTCCTCTTTTCTCCTATCTTGTCTTTTTCTAGACCCCTTTCTCTTACCTAGGTGTCTATATTTTTAGCTGCTCTAATGGTTCTTTTCAAAGTAGCTGTCATTTTGACCGTTGGGCCAAAGTCTGCAGGCAGTCCATTAACGAACCTATCTATCTTGGAGAGTTTAGCTGGCACCAAGTAGGGAAATAGCATCATCTTCTCAGTGTATGCGGTGGCATACTCATCAACACTCATCTTCCCTTTCTTCATGTTCTAAAACTCGTTGTTTAGGTCTATCAGATCTATCTCTGAGCAGTACTGCATTTTTAAATTCTCTGTGAATGCTTCCCAAGACATTCGTATGGCTTTTCCTCGTAGCATTGTATCTTCCAACAACTTCCACCAACTTAACACTCCAGTCTTTAATTCTCTGACTGCAAAGACTGTCTTTTGCTTATCACTACAGTCATAGCTCTCAAATACCATCTCCATCTTGGAGACCAAGTCCATAATATCACCCGACTTCGGGATTCCAGAAAGGCTTGGTGACATGGCACCCAATAAGTTCTTATACATTCGTCCATCCTTGTCATTTCCCTTCTCCGGGCCATAACTTCATTCTCCTTGAGTCCCAACTTGATTTACAGGGTGGCTATAGTTCCCTTCCTCCGATTGCTTGGGAATCAGCTCAGGTTGCTCAATGGGCATGGTAGGTTCGTCCCTATTTTCATGCAACATCCTCCTCATTTCTTCCCTTTGGTCAGCTAACATAGCCCGAATCATGGCTTGTACTCCAGCCATGGTGATTGGTTCAGGTGCAGCTTTTACTACAACAGGTATTTGTTCAATCACTAGGGGTTGTTGATTCCTATTTCCATTTGCGTTCCCGACTCCACTTCGGGTTCGTTCCATTTCGATCTATACACCAATTCAAACGTTTGGTTTGTAATGACGAGAATTAAGATAGGAAAGATTTTATTTACGATCGACATGTAAATCTCCCAATTACTCCGAAAAGTTACATGCCAGTTCTAATACCGTAATTAAACTTTTAGAAGTCTGAACACGTAGAGTTTCCAGATCCGGTCGGAAACAGACCATAGAACCGATCATACATTTAGCATCATAAATCCTTTACAACATAAAAGCATGTTAGGCATTTACCCTAAATAAGTTAGTGCTTGTGTCTATTCAGTTGTATTACCGAAGACACACTCCTCACAATCATTGCTTAGATTCTATGTTTAAGTTTAGAAATAAATCCATATCCCTAGTTCGCTTAAACTAATTCTCAGATACAACTTGTGACATCCCCATTTTCATGGCCAGAAAAGACCGATTTTGATTATGCTTTATAAAAATCAGAGTAACTCTTTTTAATAAAAATGTGCGGAATTTGTTCCCAGTGAAACATGATAAATACGTTATCAGGACATTTCCGAATAAAATTATTTTTATTTATTTTAAAACATTTGGGATGTCATCGTCAATACAGAAACATAAGCATAAACAAAACTTACTCTCATTATCGCTAGTGATTTATATCTCCTTAATCTCTTAATGTAATGTGACTTCATATCAACACTTGTGATATAAATATGTTGAGTGGGTCAGGTTGGGAAACCTGGTGAGTACATACAATTTTCAACCCAGAATAATATAATTATTATGTTTAATTATCAAACAGTTAACCCAATTACTCATCCTTATTATCTTCTTTACACTTAAGGATCTACCCTAAGAATCAACTATTTCTCATTCATTCATTCCTAAGGATTATCCTAAGGAATATGTACGAAGTCCATCGTTGTTAATGACACAGCTGTCAAGCACAGGTGCTAGTTCTATCACTTAGCCGCAGCTGCCAGGATTGTGACATTCTATGTGAGGTGCAGCTGCCAGTATTGTCCTTCGAGCAAAGCTGCTACGGTTATCTCGTTTATTGACAGTATCGTTTTCGAGAGTCCACCCGCAATACATGTCAATGGGTTTTTAGAGTACACCGGTGAACACATCATTCACAACACCTACAGGTTGCGAGTCTGCTAGTGTTCCATGGGACTGTCTAGAATAGTTCGTGGTCAGTGGCGGAGGCAGAAAGTTGTCACAGTAGTGGCACAATTTTTTTTTCTCCGGATATAATAACATAAAAAAAGTTAAAAGCACTAGTACATCAAATCGATCCATTACATCTTAATATCTAAATTTGACATCTACGGGTACACATTTTTTGAAACCAATCCATTACATCTTCGATCTTCACTTTCATAAGTGCTTCTTTTTCAACATAAGAAATCATGGCATCGTTCAAAAAATCATCACCTATTTTGTTACACAAATTCATCTTCAAAAACTTCATCACTGAAAAACATCTTTCAACTGTTGCGGTTGCAACGGGTAAAACCAAAACCAACTTCAACAACCTATAAACCATAGGATAAGACTGATGTTTCCCCTTTACCACCATCAAACGAGAAAGGTCGGAAATTCCTTGCAAACTAGTGAACCGGTCATCTTTATACAAAGCGTGATAATATATTTCAAGTTCACCAACAAGTTGCATCCTCTCCGCATCATCAAAATCTTTTATGTATAACTCACTCAACTTTAACAACTTTGTTTTAGTAAATTTAGCAAATGAATCACAAGGACTCAAAGCCCCCATGTATTCTAGTAATTGGGTGCTAAGTTCACTAAATCGGTATCCGAATTCTATAATTTGCATATCCATGACGGTGTTGAAAATTTCAACTTCAAAATGAAATTGATTAGTAACTTTAGTCTTACGGCCTCTTGATGTGACAAAATTGTCCATCATCTCCACAATATTAATATCATGTTTTTGACAAAAAGAGAGTACCTTCGATAAAAGTTTAGCAAACCCCGTGTCTCTTAAAGACTTCAATGCATCCATTGTCCCTCTAACCAAAGAAGCCGCTTCTACAATATCTTGATCCTTTTTTTGAAGATGTTTTGACAATACGTTCGTGAGGTGTAAAATTTCATATATCAAATGTAAGTAAAACACAAAATCTAATGTCTTGAAATATTTTAATATACCAAATGCTTGATTTTGGTTACTTAAAGCGGATCCTTCCTCTTCGACATAAGCAAGAACATGACAAACCTATAGAAATAAGTTCATCAAACTTGTGATGGTTTTGAAATGTGAACCCCATCTTGTATCTCCTGCTCGAATCAGAGAGCTCTCTTGGTTTAACCCTCTTCCAGTTTCAAGTTTACCATTTCCAATTGACATTTGCACCCTTTCTCTTTTACTTTCCCGTAGCATGTCTTGTCTTTTACATGAACCACCTACCACATTAACCACCAAAGAAAGTTGCTCAAAGAAATCATCAACACCATCATGCTTCTTTGCTACACTCACAATAACTAACTGAAGTTGGTGTGCAAAGCAATGCACATAATGCGCTGAACCATTATATTGTAAAATCAAAGCTTTTAGACCATTAAATGCACCACGCATATTGCTTTCCCCATCGTAACCTTGTCCTCTTACCTGATAAAAAAATATATTAAACATTAAAGAGAATAATATTCAATTAAAATTCATAATAAGGAAGAAAAATATTATATTTACCTGAGACATACTCAAATTGTTACGGGTAAAAACATCATATATGGCTGCTTTAAGAGTTAAAAAAGGATATATCCTTCACGTGCACCACTCCACGGTTGTCGACATACCTCAAAACTATGGCCATTTGTTCTTTTTTTGATACATCACTCGATTCATCAACCTATAAAGAAAACACATATTTACCAATTTCTTTGCAAATATCTAAAACTATCTTTGTTGAAAAGCATTCAACAATTTGCTTTTGAGTCCTCGGGCACGTCACTTGATTCTTTTGAGGAGCATTTTCTAAGGTAACATTGTGAATGCCTTCGTTATGGTCTCTCAAGAAAGATAATAACTCCAAGAAAAGCCCTCTATTAAGAGACTCACTTGACTCATCATAACCCCGAAATGGTACACCATTTTTCATTAAAATTTTACAACACCAAATTGAAGCACCTAAACGAAGTTTATAATTACTCTCCTCAATCTTGGTTTGTTTGTTGAAGGATGCACTAATAGATTTTTTTCTTTCAATAAAAATTCACAATTTTCTTTTTCTTTGTGATGAAAACTATCAATACCACCCATATGATCTCTCAATGATTGTCTTTTATTCCAACTATCAAAACCTTGTGAAACAAATGCATCTCTCCCATGTTGTTTTGCCACCATGTCTCCACATACATAGCAAAATAAACAAAATGCTTTGTTCTCTTTTATGCTATTTTCTAACCAATCAAATTCATCAAACCACTTAACAACAAAATGTCTTTCTTTTGAACCTATTTTCTTTGAAGGGAATATATGACCCCTTGGTTGACAAGATCCTTGAAGCAAATATGCCTTCCTTATTTCATCTCTTTGATTTGGATGGTAAGTTGTAATCTTTGGTCTTACACCCGGGTCTTTTGGAAGATCTTTCAATTCAACATTTGTAATTGGAGCAGTTGTAGATTGTGGATTTACATTAGAAACCAAAGGGAATGATTGATTAGAAGGACGTGGTCTTTTAGAGGATGCTTCAAAATTTAAATCATTGAAGAATGGTCTTTTGGAGGATTCTCCAACACTTGATTTATTGATGCTTGTTCTTCCGAAAAAAGACCCAATTTTATACTAACAATTCAATATCAAACAAATAAGTCATCCAAGATTCCAAGTAATTTCAAGGTTAACAAATAACAACTACTAACTTCAAGTAAACAAGTAATTTCAAGGTTAACAACTACTAATTTCACCTAAACAATAAGAAATTTCAACAAAAAAGCAACTATTTGACTAATTTCATAAACCTAAAATTATCAATACTTACTTGTTTCATTGTATTTGTAGGATTGAAAGGAGTTCCAAGCCAAGACAAACAAAATCGAATGGTTGAACACTTGAATGGATGAAATCGATTGAAAGAAGCAAGTCCCAATGTCGAATTTTTTTTCTTCGTCGACAGTTCACAGTGCCGATGTTTTTGTTTTTTTTGTTTTCTGTAATCTCGTTCACAAGGCCAGCACTCCAATTTCTTTTCTTCAAAATCCGATGGACACTTAATAGAGATTGGGTATTGGGCTAATTCTAAATTGAGGTATTGGGCTAATTTTCTTTATTTGTTGGACTAGCATTTTTTATAGTTTTATTTTTTGGGCCTCGAATTCTCAAAAGTATAGTGTCCCTCAAACGAATTTGAAGCCGGTGCACCTAATAGAATTTTTTTTTACCCTAACGGACCGAAGCAAAACAGTGGCCCGGGACCCCTCGGGCACCACACACATCTGTCACTGTCTGTGGTTGTCATCCATACTCTGCTAGATGATGGGGCCATCATTTGGGAACAAGGCTTCTCACATCGTCCACCTCTCACCCTTACCTCATGGTCTATATCACCTCTCAACTCATCATCCAACTCATATTTCATCTACCCATGTTTTACCCAACATATTAGGTAGATATAAATACATATACAGTTTAAATCATATAAAACTTGTATAAAATCGTTCATCCAGCATAGATAGCAAATATACAGATAATATGCACACATAACACGTAATTATATAAAATACTTCATATCTATGTGTAAGATGAAAGGGACCATGCACTCACTTGAAAATGTGGTGACTCCGAACTCAGACAGTGCTTCGCTTCTTAATTAAAAATAATTTCCATCGACGAAACCTAGTATTATTACCACTAGAGTTAGTCTATTATTCGTCGAGACTAATGAATAGTCTAGCTATTATTACTATTATATAAGCGTTAAACAATACTTATATAACACATAATAATAGCCCAAGTACTTATTATCAGTTCCTAATAACGTTACTATAATTAAATAAAGTTATATTAAAAATAGTATAGGCGTAGCTCACTTACAGCAGGTTTTATAGAAAACCGGGCTTTACTTAGAGCAATGTTCCCACGCCGATAAGCTCTTCTTCTCGGAGACGTCGAGCACTTTGGGGCTTCCGCCTCGTGCTAGGGAGGTTCCCTACACTTTTCGGGGGGGTTTTGGGGCTTGAGAGAGGTTCTAGAGAGATAGAGAGAGAGAGAGAGTAAAGAAAAGAAAGAATGGGAAAGGTGTGAAGAAAATGATGGTGGGAGAGGTTCTTTTTATAGTGTGAAATGTGGCTGAACTTGATGCCACATGTCACCATCTGTTGGCAAGACTTGGGGAGAAAGCAATGGCCAAGATTGTGGCATGTGACCCATTTTCGCACAGTACACTTCTGATTTCTAAAATCTGTAACCTTCACATACGAGCTCCATTTTTTGATGTTATTTATATTCACGCGTAGGTAAAAATAAGATCTACAACTTTCATTTTGACTTCGTCGGCTAATTCTCGACCGATCTTAAATTTAGCAGTATGAAAAGATTATATTGTTAAATGTCCGCGTAAAATTCATAACTTCTACACACAGACTCTGTTTTCGTCTGTCTTTTTACCATTGAGTTCCTATTAATAAGATATTCAATTCTCATTTACGTCGCGTAGGCCAAAAACCACTCGATCTAAAATTCGAGTTTCGGGTTGTGCACTACTAAGCCAAATCTTAGAAAATTCATAACTTCCTCATACGAAGTCAGATTTGGGCGTTCTTTTTTTGTATGTTCTTCATTTAACATATACTAAAACTTTTGTTTATATTTCTAAGGCTAAAAATTCATCCATCGTAAATTCACTATTTATGTCTCCCAGTGTCGTGCCGGTTTTGCTGTAAAACTTCGACGAACCATATCTTCTTCGTTATAACTCGGATTTTGTCATTCTTTATATGTACGGAACCCTTGATACGTATTCTAAAACTTGGTTAAGATTATTTATTCTAAATAATATTTTTTCAAAAAGTTGTTTTCAACCCCTATTATCTTTAAATTGACTAGCCCGGATCTATAGGCGTTACATACCTCCAGAGAGGCGGGTAGAGTTTAATATTTACTTGGTTCCTGGTGTGGCTCTGAAAGCCAAAGCACCATATTGGTTAGCTCCTCCACTGATGTAGGAGTTGTCTAAACATCTGTAGGAGCTGTTAGACAAGGGGTTCATTCGAACGAGCAGTTCGCCATGGGAAGCATTGATCCTATTTGTGAAGAAGAAGGATGGGTTGCATTGAATGTGTATTGACTACCAGGAGCTAAATAAGCTAACGGTGAAGAACCATTATCTACTCCCGAGGATTGATGATTTGTTTGACCCACTTTAAGGTGCATCTTGGTTTTCCAAGATTAATCTAAGTTCAGGTTATCATCAAATAAGGTTCAGAGAGGAGTATGTGTAGAAGATGGCCTTCCGGACTTGTTATGGTCATTACGAGTTTGTGGTGATACCCTTGGGCTCACCAATTCTCCATCCGTGTTCATGGACATCATTAACCATGTTTGTAGGTCGATCTTAGATCGGTCTATGATTGTATTCATTGATGACGTCCTCGTCCATTCTATGACCAAAGAGCTGCATGAGGAGCACTTGAGGGAGGTATTAGAGACTCTGAGGAGGGAGAGACTATATGCAAAGTTCTCCAAGTGTAATTTCTCATTGCGAGAGGTGCACCTTTTGGGGCACCTTATCAACTAAAATTGTATTATGGTCGATCCGGCCAAAGTTGAGGCCGAGATTAGATGGGAGGTTTTGAGCTCTCCAACTGAGATTCGAATTTTCCATGGGTTGGTAGGGTACTACTGGAGGTTCATTCAGGATTTATTCAACATAGCGATTCCTCTTACTCGTAACTGTCACTTTTTGACAGGGGCATGAGCATGAGGTAGCATTTGAGACCCTAAGACAGAGATTATGTGAGGTGTCGATTCTGACTCTACCTGAGGGTGTTAAGAATTGTTTTAGTTTATTGTGATGCGTCGATCACAAGTTTGGTTACAGTTTTGATGCAGAGGGGTTGCTTTACTGTTTACGGTTTGAGGCATTTGAAGCCTCATGAGGCGAATTACCCTATGCATGATTTGTAGTTAGGGGTAGTGGTGTTTGCCCTCAAGATTTGGCAACATTACCGCTATAGGGTCCGTTGTACGATTTACACGGATCACAAGAGCCTGAGGTATTTAATGGATTAGCTGAATCTAAACATGAGGCAACATTGGTGTTAGATGTGGTGAATGATTATGATTGTGACATCCTTTATCATCTGAGGAAGGCCAATGTGGTGGCCGATGCTCTTAGCTGCAAGGCGTTTGCGGCTCCGATCAAAGATATTTGTTTGAGGATGATAGTGATTACTCCACTCTTGGAGAAGATTCGAGAGGCTCGGGTAGAGTCTATGAAGGAAAAGCACCGGAAGAGTAAGCACATAGTGGGTTAGGTGGCTTCCTTCAATTATAATAGTTGGGGGTTATTGACTCTCTATCGAAGGGTGATGGTTTCTTATTGGGTGGTGCACGTTAAGTTTTGATGGAGGATACAGATAAGTTGAGATTATCCATTCATCATAGGGTGAAAAAGATGTATAGAGATCTATATCCTAATTATTGGTGGCTCTGTATGAAGCGGGATGTGGCTTGGTATGTAGAGAGGTGCTTAACTT